CGTCTTCCCAGGCGCATCCCCTTTGGTGTTGCCTGGTTTCTCTCTTGATTTATTTACACGTCCAGGTTTGCTTCTTGACTCATGCAATCTTGACAGCCCCTTTTGAATAGTGAAACCGAAAGGGTAATAAACCATACAGAACGCTAGAAAAGCCATTGTTGTGCAGTTGGCAAATAGCAACATTTCGGAATGCTAGGTCAGCCGCAATGTGTGAAATATCTAGCCGTGCGCCGCATGATGCCTTAAAGGCCACGCACAGGCAGTGACCCTTGAAGCAATGCATCTAGGGGTATATGCTTCAGGACTTTTCATTTTAGTTTCGTTTTGAAATTTCAGAAAGGGGATGATGATCGGTTTCACGAAATGTCGGGAATGTGGGTTTTGTTTCAGGGATTCAGTTTGGGAACACTGGTTTCAGGAATGTCAGGTGTAACCAGAGGGAGACTTTGCCTCCAGATGGCCACCAGTGTTCCCCCGAAGCTGACATAGTGTGAGCCAGCTCACTGTTTTTAAGCCTCCGGTTCACACATTTTTGACTGAGCTCAGGAAGGGATGGCTCCTGAGCAAACTAATTTATGCAGCAGCCAAATTTCTCACTTACAGCTTTAATGCCGGTAGCTCACAAAGTAGAATGTCTGCTCACAAGACTCCACGGCTTAGAGGGAGCATTGTCTACCACCCATGAAAAACAGTGCGAAGTGAAACAATTCCCAGTATTTCAGGAGGGGCTGAATTTTGGGAATCCCAAAATATCAAGAGTGATTTTTACATTTTGTGTACGTCCACTCCACAATGAAGCAGGGGCTTTTGTGTGCCGTTTTTGGGTTGTGAAGATCCGAACGCACACCCCGGGTGTGTCTCGTTCCCTAATCCTAGATCTAACTTCTAGAGGAGGAAGCTGAGCCCTAAAAGTGACCCTCAGGAAGTCTTAAAAGTCTTTAAAAAAATCTTGCCCTAGGAAGACAGGTTAAAGCGCTTGGGGCTCTTTAGCTTGGAGAAACGACGGCTGAGGGGGTGACATGATCAAGGTTTACAAGATTATGCACGGGCTTCCTGAATATGGTTAAACAGATGTACATGTTTTATTAGTTATTATTATTTTTGTGAAAAATTAATAAAAAGTTAATTAATTAAAAAAAAAGATTATGCATGGGATAGAGCAGGTAGGGAAATAGGTACTTTCCTCCCTTTCTCACAATACAAGAACTCGTGGGCACTCCATGAAACTGCAGAGCGGTCGGATTAGAACGGATAAAAGGAAGTCCTTCTTCACCCAAAGAGTGATCAACACGTGGAATTCACTGCCACAGAAGTAGGTGGCAGCTACAAGCATGGACAGCTTCAAGAGGGAATGAGATAAGCATATGGAGCAGAGGTCCATCAGTGGCTATTAGCCACAAGGTATAGATAGGAACTCTCAGGCTGGGGCAAGTGATGCTCTGTCTTCTTGGTGCTTGGGGGGGGCAACAGTGGGAGGGCTTCTAGTGTCCTGGCCCCACTGATGGACCTCCTGATGGCACCTGGTATTTCTGGCCACTGTGTGACACAGAGTGTTGGACTGGAGGGGCCACTGGCCTGATCCAACATTGGCTTTTCTTATGTTCTTATATCTGGGGCAAGGGATGCTCTGTCTTCTTGGTGCTTTGGGGGGGTGCAACAGTGGCCCCACTGCTAGTGTCCTGGCCCCACTGCTGGACCTCCTGATGCCCCCTGGGTTTTTTTTGGCCACTGTGTGACAGAGTGTTGGACTGGATGGGCTATTATTGGCCTGGTCCAGCATTGGCTTATCTTACGTTCTTATGACTTGCCCTCTAATGGAGACAGAGCTTTCTCAGGAATGGCTTCCAGACAGTAGGGCTGGTCCTGGATAGATTGTTGGCTCTTCTGGGGTGCTAAGAAGCTGCCCGCTGCCTCCGTTAAAAGCAGGCCAGCAAGCAAGGCCATTAAAAGGCATCAGGGATTTTTGGCAGCCTTTATCCAATCAGCTCCAAAAATAAAAGGCACAGAATGTTCCTGTCAGGGAGACGTTCCGCAAGGGGAGCCGCTCCTGGCAGCGTTCTGCTCCTTGGAGATGTCAGTCTGGCCTCCCAGTTGAGGATTTAAGAACATAAGAGAAGCCAATGCTGGATCAGGCCAATTGCCCATCCAGTCCAACACTCTGTGTCACACAGTGGCCAAAAATACCAGGGGCCATCAGGAGGTCCACCAGCAGGGCCAGAGCTCCAGAAGTCCTCCCACTCTTGCTCCTCCCACCAAGCACCAAGAAGACAGAGCATCTCTGCCCCAGACATAAGTCCATAAGAGAAGCCGTGTTGGATCAGGCCAGTGGCCCCTCCAGTCCAACACGCTGTGTCACACAGTGGCCGAAACCCATGGGCCATCAGGAGGTCCACCAGTGGGGCCAGAACTCCAGGAGCCCTCCCACTGTTGCCCTCACCACCACCACCAAGTACTGCCCCAGACAGAGTATTCCATCTCTACCTTTTGGCTAATAGCCACTCATGGACCTCTGCTCCATAGGTTTATCCAGTCCCCTCTTGAAGCTGAAAAGAACATCAGAGAAGTGTGTTGGATCAGGCCAATGGTCCCTCCAATCCAACACTCCGTCACACAGTGGCCAAAACCCAGGTGCCATCAGGAGGTCCACTAGCGGGGCCAGAACTCCAGAAGCCCCCTCACTCCCCCCCCTGAGCACAAATAATACAGAGCGTCACTGCCCTAGACAGTATGTTCCATCTATACATAAGAACATGAGAGATGCCAATGTTGGATCAGGCCAAAGGCCCATCCAGTCCAACACTCTGTATCACACAGTGGCCAGAAATACCAGGTGCCATCAGGAGATCCACCAGTGGGGGCAGGATATTAGAAGCCCTCCCACTGTTGACTCCCCCAAGCACCAAGATGACAGAGCATCACCTGCCCCAACCTGTGAGTCCCAATCTATCCCTTGTGGCTAATAGCCACTGATGGACCTCTGCTCCATATGCTTATCTAATTCCTTTTTGAAGCCGTCCATGCTTGTAGCCACTGATGGACCTCTGCTTCATAGGTTTATCCAATCGCCTCTTGAAGCTGTCCGTACTTGTAGACTTCTGGCTGTCGGATTTCCCCTCTGGTGTTCTAATTCCAGGGTTTTGCGGGCGCATCCAACATGCCCATGAAGGGAAGTGGCATCCTCTGTTTTCCCAGAGTGCATTGCCTTTGACTTTGGAAAGGCTCCTTTTAGGGATTGCTTGTGGTGGATAGCTATGGGTACCACACCCTGTTCTCCCAAGTTCTTCTCCTCCACAACAGCTGGATGGACGGGTGGTAACTTTGGGCTGAATCATGTGGCTGGAGTAGACAACCGTCTCCGTTTATGGGCATCGTGCCATGCTGCTATGCAGTAATTGCATGGCTCTTGGTCCGCCTTGAGTCATAGGATTGGCGCGCGCCGTGGCGGTGACTTCTCCCAATGCAGCAATTCTTCTAGAAACTTCCTGTGGCTGAAAGGCCCAGGAAAATAC